GGATATGATGGCTGCTTCTAAATTGTAATAAAAATTAATTATTGTCCTTGCGATAACCAAAATAATATTTATATAGGTACTAAATAATTTAATGGTTGTTATTTTATTAATGTTAAATTAACATAAATTAGTTTAAAATAAATAATTCAATCTTTATTTCAAGAATAATACACATTTGTAAATTAGCTTGTGTATAATATACTACATTGCATATTATATGTATAAATGTATCGTATAATGATGTAAGTACAGAGTATGTCTAAAGGGTCCGGTCCGATGACTCAATTCTCATGCTATAGCCAAGGGACGACCTGGACTAATTTCATTTGGCCAATATGAATGGCTTCGGTGATTTGTCTAAGTTTATTATATCGTGAGAGACGCGATTTTGGGGCACGAACGAATACGTAGCGCGAACCGTGAACACRACTCGCGAGTTTTGTTTGGATTTCTATATAAGACAGTATTATTATAGTGACGTCAAGTCGGTATTTTGTTGACACTAGGCACATATTATTATCATTTTTCCTATGGCCTATCAATCGGATGATGAGTCGGTAAGTCGGTGAATCGTGTTGTTTCTTTTTTCGATTTTTAGCAGCGAACGATACATAATATTTACGTTTTGCAATAATCGTTGATTGTTGATGTATAATAATATATACATATATATATATATATATATATGTATATATCATCAATTGTTATTATTTTAACATGTATTGATAGAACGGTGCAACGGTGGTTGGTGTGCCACAAAAATATAATTTCCGTTTAATGTTTTCATATGGTCTCACGCTCACACGATTGAGTAAACTTCTAAACGTTGTTGACCAAACATTGAAACCTTTCATAAAATTTATATTTTTATCGATCAATGCTGTTTATATATATGCATATGAAAGCAAATGGATGACACTTTTTTAGAAAAAAAAAAAAACCATTAGGTCAGTTTAATATTGTTATAATTATCTCGTGTAATCTGTTCCCGATTTGTTACAGAATAGACTACACAACCTACATGCACAATGGATTGCATCATCGTTGGCGTAATTATTCGTTTTAAAACATCCGTCAATAATCATCAATTCATCACTTATCTTACTCAGTTACACTTACTTTACAATTTACACAGTCGTCAGTCATTATTCCGTATAATTGTTGGGAAATTATGTTATTATAAAGATTATTTGATAATAATATTCCATTGACTATTGTACGACGGTTACGGTTTGTATTAATGTTTTAAACGCCTTAAAAAGGCTGAATGACAAAATATATTGAATTCCATAATCATTGATGTAGATAGAACACTCCTCATGAATCATGATGCATTTGGTTGGTTTTCCAAGGTGATTAATCTTTTTTTTTGTGTAATTTATTTGAAAATATGCAATCTATATAGATAACTTAAATAATAATAATAGGTATCACATGTTAAGGTGATTGAACTTAGCTAGAGTTAATTGAATTAAAAAATAAAACTTCTAATGAAAAAAACAAAAAATTCTATCATCTGGAGCAGTAGAACAAAAGTAATTTTTTTAGGTATATGACTCCACAAGACTTAAAGGATGGGTGGGTACTGGGTAAGTAGGTTTGTAGGTACCTAAAAAAATGAAAAATGGCAGTAAAATATTCATTATTAATAATTTATATGAATATTCGTATTTTACTTTTCTTATGGCTTGGTCATGGTGTCATGGGTTGGATATATAAAAAAAAATACCATGTCCTAAAAGAATTTAGAGTTTGTGTCACTCTAGTCGGGAGTAATATTTTTCATTTTACAATTGATATTCTATTCATTGGTTTAAAAATAGTATGATGATATAAGGTAAGGTAAGCTCTAAACACCATATCTGCAAATCTTTGGATTGGATTGCTTTTATTTGGAATTTAGCTGGATGACTAAAAAAAAATTCCTTTTTTTTGGGCCTATTAGTCTATCATTAGATGATTGTGATATTATGCAAAAAATACTTTATTGAGAGTACCCAAGGGTTTCTTAGGGATTATTTATGTGAAGATAGTTTGGTTAATGGTTGTTTATAAACTGAAAAATTAAAGATTAGAACCAAACYTGATATTTTAATTATGTCCAAAGATTTATTATACGGTGCTGGTAAAATCAATTAACATTTTAGACAAAATATCAAAGTTTATTATTATTTATTTGTACTTGCTATTTTTTGTGTTCAAATGATAATACAACCTCAAGTGAAATTTAAGACTACAGAGTAATAAAAAGATTGAAGGGAGTTGACTAGCAAAACAAGCAGTAAGCAAAGCCCCTTATTCAAAAACCATGGTTAAGTTTAAATTAACATAATGCAAGAATTTATGAAACAATATAACTTTTATTGAGCATAATATACAAAAAATACTTGGTTTATGAAAAATAGATACTTTGTTGCTCTTGTTTCCACTTTGTATACATATTTTTAGGAATTTTATTCATACTATTTAGTTTTTCAATAAAATTGTTCCGTAACTGATCATCTACCAATTGGGTATTCATCAAAGTTTTAAGGAATGTACCAATAAAATATTTGTTTCTAAAAACACATGCTTCTAAGACGACCCGCATTATTTGACCAGTTGATTTGAAGTGCTCGAGTACTTTGAYAATGTCTGCTTCATGACGGTTCTGAAATAAAGTATAATAAGATTCAAAATTATTATTTAGTACATTAATGATGAACAAACTGTCTCTATGGTCTATCTTTATTCTATAATACACATTAAATACTGAAGATCTAATACATTAGAAAATTCTAGGAAATTATATTGATATGTGGTTACTGGTTATGAACTATGGTGTATATGAATTTTAAATATAGTTTAAAAAATGAAACTCATTCAAATGTTTTTATTATGATGAAATCAAATTAATGAAGAAATACAGATAATGTTCTACTTAATTATAAATTTGATAGTAGTGTTGGATCTAGTATTGAACTTGAACCCATGATTAATATATTTGTCAACAATTACTTATAAAGAAACAATAACCATTTACTCAGATTAAATATGTGTATTAAAATGTTGAAATATGATTTACCATGTAGTCCTGCTAAAGAATTATGATGATAGTTTATAACATACATATTTTTTTAATACAGTATTAATTAAATTAGTTAGATAAAATTTAACTATATTTTTGCTTCAATGACTCAGTGTTAAATAAAAATAAATTAACATTACATCATTAAGAGTATAAAATAATAGTTTGTATTAAACAAATGAGTTTAGTACAAAAGTTTTCAATTTTATAACATTGAGATTTAAAAAAGAAAAAGAAACAAAATCGAAGGGAAACCATTTTGGTTTTATTATTATTGCTTGACCTAACCTTAACAATTAGATCGTTTCAATAAGTTATTGGAACAGAATACCAATATTTGAGTAGTCATGTACATATTGATTCAAAATTATATTTATGCTTTGGTAATTTATTGTTCCTTATATTATATTATTAAATAAATAATAAGCTACACTTTATTTTACCTGACAATCATCGTAATTTTTAAACAACCCCATGTAATCTTCTCCATGGTTTATTTTGATTAGTTGGGCTTGGGCTTTTTTGACATAATCAKACTGTATATCTCCACAAGATTCTGTTAGTTTAGGTTGCTGGAAATTGATAATATATTAATATAAAGACTCTAGAAATAACTAAATTCTACATATCATTTATGTAATTACAGTATTAATATGGGCTGCTAAAGCAGCAGGTAAATCGATGGGCAATAATTCAGTGAGTAAAGAGTAGAATACTTTAGCAGTATCTACATTTGGTTTATATGAACTGTACCATCTGCTGTATTCTGACCAAAGACCAATTTCCAAACAACATTGACGAAAAATTAATAAAGCAGCCTTTCGGGTTATGAAACTTTTTTCTGTAGTTGATTGGGACAGTGTTTGATTGAAAAATTCTTCTAATTTCACTGCAATTAAGTAGAATATTTATGAATAATAATTTGATTTTTGCACTATAAATGTATAAAAGAAAAACAAATACATTTTAACACGTGACATAGATTAGATTTTGTTTTAACAAATGTAGAAATTAAAGACAATAACAATTTCCAATTGGCTTTTTMTGCATACTGCGTTAGGACATTCTGAATTAATACATATACAACATCTTCATCAATTTCTTCCAAAAACTGTAATTATATAAATTATATTAATCAATTTATATTTCATAATTTAAGTAATTAATTTTTATAACAGCCTAAAAATGATGAAAAAATATACCATTTTAAGCATGTTGTGTACAGAATCTGGAGTTTTATATAATCTATATTGTTCATATGCAACATTTAAATGAAAATCAATATCAGCTACAAGCATGTTCTTTAAAATTATTTTGAATATTTTTTGAGCTGTCGATTTTGTTAAAAATGATGAACATTTAAGATTTTTCAAATAGATCCATCCATCATGATTTTTTGTGATTATTAAGCTYGACTGTTAAAATATGAAGAAATAAATCTATAAAAGTTAATTAACATTATTATCTTTATATTGCTGCAAGACCGTATCTAGAGTGTATACCCAGGGAAAGGGGCATTTCAACATTTTTCAGATTTAGAATCTTTTGTTTATTATTAGAAAAATATTAATATTACATCAAGTAATGACTATTGTCAACATGACAATCATGTACAATATATTATAGTATAGTGTTAGAAATTAAGTGATTACAGTTTCCYATTAAAGTCTGCTTTGTAATGACTATAAACAAGTGTCAAGGGCAGACTCTGAAATTTGAGGGAATAGACTAGAGAGAAAAACTGTTTCTTGAAAGGGGAAATTCAACAAAGCTTGCTTCCGCTTTGGCTCATAAAGTACCTTTGTGGTTTTGGCACTTACTAATAGATTGGTGAAAAATAATTAGTAAACAAGAAAATCTTGAAAATACATAATATATATATATATACACAAAAGCTTAATTATTATTTATTTGGTTATTGATGAGTCCTTTCCTGGGAAACACCGGACGGGACAGCTAATATGGTATAAATATGTACTTTTTAGAACCCTCCCCCTAAAAATAAAATATCTAGATATTGCCTTATGTTGGTGAATATTGTATTTAAAATCATTACTTGAGTTAAAAACTGTTGAATAATTTGTATGTGTTGATCAAATACATGATTAGGTTCTCCAGACAACAAAATTAATAGGCTTCCCAATAAGTCTGTCAAAATTTCTTGACATAGCTTTTCCTCAGATTCAGACATACATAGAAGAGTCTTAACTATATGATCAAGATTCCACTTATAACTGAAACAAATTAAAATAACATGAGTAAAGAAAAAAGCATTCAATAAATAATAAATATTCTACTGACCATGTGATAAATTCTGTAAAGTCAATAATTTGTTTTGTATGTAGTCGCCAAATTATTTCAATGGAATATTTATTCTCCTGAAATTATAAAATTAATGATTTTGTAATAGTTAAAAAATAAAAGAAATGTATACCTGTAGTCCCAATATAGTCTTAAATAAATTTGAATTAATATCTTCTTCAGATAATTCATTAATCAAATTGTCTAAAGTTTTTCTATCTTGTTCATTCAACAACATATTCATGTCTTTGTTTCTTATAAATAGTTTGTTTAATTCTTCTACCTTCTTAAACAAGATCATTTTGGCGCCTAAAATAAGTGTAAATTATTAATATAATACTAAATAATATATTAAAATATGGATAAATATTTGAGTATAATAACATTTTTGATAATTTATTTTGTTAAAATAATCATAAGGGAAATAGATTTTTTCCATAACTTTACTAATTATTTCAGATTATAAGCTAGTGCGCATAACTTCAATTATGGTTTCTAAATATTGTATAAATCCATACACTACACATAGCTTTTTGTATAATACAAAATAAATTGTTCAAGAATTGAGGAATTAATTAAATACAATTCTCATTAATTATTTGATACATATTATTTAATTAAGCAAAATTTATATACTACTATTAATAAAACAGAATTATTAAATAATACAAGTGATAAATGCATATTAAATAAACAGCAATCAAGAGTAATTTATATACTTCTAAATTCTAAAGTTGAACACAGAAAAGTGGAAACCTTAAAAAAAATATGTTGATAGCAGATTGAAAAAATAAATAGTTACGAATGATATTTGATCAAGTTAATGATGTATTTATACTTATTACTTGTATGTTAACTTTGTATACAAGTAAAAAGAAATACATACGAAACCTATATTTTTGTTTAGTTATCAATACATTTATATTATTACAGTTATGCCTATAACTTATAAGTTATAAAATCAAATAATATGACGAAATCATAAGTAAATTAGACACATTTCGACAATTAAGGCACATTGATTTCTTCTAAGAAAATGTTTATTAATGATTGATGAAATAATAATAAGATGCATGTTTGAACTATTAACTCCAAACACCATATCAACAAATATGATGAATTTAAGTTATAATATAATAAATATATATGAATATACATTAGAAATCTATAAAAATTAATATTATAACATCAGTATCATGCATATAAAACTATTTTTAATTATTTAGTGGTATTACTAATGATGAAATACATGTGTATTATCTAATATTAGTAATGTATAAAGAAGTGTTTTAACTATATATACATACAGAGTGATCCCTCAAGCATGCTCATTCTTTTTTTCTTCAATAATGCATTTAATCAAAATCTGAAAATTAGGGTTTCAGTAATTTTAAAAATTCCAAAAATCAGAATTAGAATAAATTTATAATTTAAAGTAACAGTTGAGATAAGCATGCTTGGTAAATCAATGCATAAAAAACCTCTTATTTTTTATAGATATAACAGAATCGACTGGATAGAAATAAAATATTTTTGATTTTGATTTTACCTTATATATAAAAGCTTTTTATGTGAGTTTTGCTAGATATCCTTTTCTATTACTGTTACCATTTCTTTTTATGATAGTATTTCCTGGAGGTGTATTTATTCACTAAAATTATTGTTTAAATTAATTATTAGATTTACATGCAATTTTTTTTTATATATGTTAAATTATCAATAAATTTAATGTTGATATCTTAATAATGACTACTGCATTATTTAAAAAAAGTTAATATTTTTAGTTTCAGATAAAGAACCATATTATAGGTATCTTATTTTGTAGTTATATTATATTATGATTAAATATGCGATTAAGTTACAAGGTAAGAGATATTGAGTAAGAAATTAATACTTGTTATATATATTATATATACTAGCTTTTCTTTAAATATTTGTTTGTTTTTTTTTT